TTTCCATTGTGTACTAAACATAACCTATAAATAATAAGAAAGTGGCGGCGGCAGATCTGTTAGAATTTGTTCCTCCTTTCAACCTCTTGTGTTCTCCTGTTCCTCTTCTATTCTCTCTTCTTTCTCTCACTTTTCTTCTATTTTGTAAACCTAAAACCTACGAGGATTCAAGACTGATTACAGTCTTGATCTTCTACTGAACCTTCTACAGGAGATAGGATATGACATCAGTACTCCAATGAAACTCTATTGTGCCAATCATGCAGTGGTTCATATCTCTTCCAATCCAGTGTTTCATAAAAGAACCAAGCACATCGAAGTTGACTGTCATTTGTGAGAGAGAAGGTGCTGAATGGAGTGATAGAGACTGCATATGTTAATACGGGAAATCAGTGGGCAGACTTGTTTACAAAAGGTTTTAGTCGGGGGAGAGTGGACTACATATGTAACAAGCTGGGATTATATGATATATACTCATCAGCTTGAGGGGGAGTGTTAGTGAAGGGGTATTTCGGTCTTTGTACCTGTTGAGAGTGTTGATGTGTACTATTATGTTAGTTTGAGTGCCTCTTACTTAAATAAGGGCACTTATATCTTTTCCAATTACATTAATAATATAATAACAGGTCTGGCCGAAACTAGGAGTGATTTTTCCTAATTTCGAACCAAACCTTTTCTCTTCTCCTTCCTCTTTCTTCCTTCTTCTTTCTTCTCTTCCTTAAACTCAAACTCCAACTTGAACTCAAACTCCTAATTACCTACTCCTAATGGTAACACAACTCTTACTTAAGATAAGATAAGGATAAGGATAAGGATAAGATAAGATAAGGGATAAGGGATAAGGAATGGTGTAGCTGGCGGGCAGAGCTGATGTGGTAAGATAAGTGTGGGTTCAGCCTGATGAGCTGTCATGTGGGCCCCGCCCTACTGCTGCTACCGGGCGGTGCACGCGTCTTGCAGTGCTGCTGTCGTGCGGTGCGTGCTACTGCCTAGTGCTGCTGCCGTGCGGTGCGTGCTATGCGTTGTCGGGCGGTGCGTGCTACGTGCTGCCGGGCAGTGCGTGCTGCGTGCTGCGCTTTGCCGGGCGGTGCGTGCTGCTGTGCGCGCTGCCGGGCGGTGCGTGCGGTGCGCTGCCGGGCTGCTGTGCGGTGCTGCCGAGCGGTGCGTGCTGCTTCCTATGACTGCGCCGCAGTGTGTTGCCGGGCGGTGTGTCCATAACATAGCACTAAAGAAATAATAAAATAAACAAAAGGAGGCCCATGACTAAAAGAACATAAACTTAAAAACATAACATAAAAAGAAATAAAACTACCAAGGCCCATTCGGCCCATTCTGACTCCACTCCCCCTCAAGCTAAGCATAGATGTTAATCATGCCCAACTAGCTGCTCTTCTAATGCAATGAAGGGAAGGCACACCTCTCTTGAGGCCACTCTCTCTTGTATAAAGTGTCTGTCTACCTTAATGTGCTTAGTTCTATCTTGCTTAACTAGGCTGTGAACAATGTTAATAGCAGCCTGGTTATCAAAATATAACATTAGTGGCTTGTCACATGAGACACCCATCTCATCAAGAAGAGATCTAAGCCAATAACAACTCGGAAACCCCATGGGCCATAGCCCTATATTCTGCTTTAGTTGAAGATCTAGCAACCATTGCTTTTACTACTCCAAGAAACAATATTCCTAGCCACCATTGCACAATAACCTGATATGGACCTCCTATCATCAACATTACCTTCTCAATTAACATCTGTATATGCCTCTACCCTCATATGACCATGTTTAGCAAACAGTATGCCCTTCCCAGTATGTCTCTGGGAGCATGCATGAACTGGCTTATTACATTGGCAGCATATGAAATGTCTGGAGTCATAAAAAGATAAAGAAGTTTTCTCAACAATCTCTGAAACACTCCCTTATCAGCTAAAAGCTCTCCATCACCAACTAAGAGTTATGATTCACATTAATAGGGGTGGAGGCAGGTTTAGCACCAAGTTTCCCAGTCTCACTAAGAAGATCCAACACATATTTCTATTGAGAAATGAATATACCTTCTTTAGAACTAGCAACCTCAATGCCCAGAAAATACCACAATTTCCCCAAGTCTTTGTTCTCAAATTAAGAGTTAAGGAACTTCTTGAGATCATTGACCTCTTATGTATCACTGCCAGTAACAACAATATCATCCACATAAACAATAAGGAATGTGACCAAAGTATTTCTCCTTTTAACAAAGAGGGTATGATCTAATTGAGTCTGAGTATATCTAAATTGAACAAGAGCAGCCCTAAATCTGTCAAACCAAGCAGATGGAGATTGCTTCAAACCATCAAGTGACTTCTTCAATTTGCACACCTTGCCTTGCATCTCCTTACTATACATACCAGGGGGAGAAACATACACTTCTTTAATGAGCTCACCATTTAAGAATGCATTCTTAACATCAAATTGATAAAGGGGCCAATCATAGCTCACTACCAAAGATAAAAGAACCCTTACAGAAATCATTTTAGCAACTAGAGAAAAAGTTTTAGTGTAATCCATCCCATACACCTGGGTATATACCTTGGCAATAAAACATGCCTTGTATCTCTCAATTGACCCATCAACATGATACTTGATGGTATAAACCCACTTACACCCAACAGGTTCCTTTCCAGTTGGCAAGTCAATAATGTCCTAGGTATTATTTTTATAGACTGCTTCTATTTCAGCCCTCATAGCATCCCTCCATTCTGGTTTGGCTAGGGCTTTGGTCACTGACTTTGAGATGGGTTGAGAGGAAATAGAGGCTAGATAGGAATAGTTGGATAGGGACAATAGACTATAAGAAAGATGTTTGGAAATACAATGAATTGTACATTTTCGCTTACCTTTTCTCACAACAATGGGAAGGTCAAGGTCTAGAAATAGGGGTGCTAGTGGTAACAATGTCGGACCTGTCATCTCTTCAGTGATTAGGAGTGCTTGAGACTCAACTTGAGATGTGGGAACAACCTACGTCTGCCTTAGTCTTTGCTGTTGGTACCACCTCTAGAGAATAGGATGTGTAGTAAAAACAGGAGGGCTAGTAGGAGGAGGGGGAGGAACAAGAATAGGAGATCTGGTAATGTACCCCCATTTCCCTCTACTACACACAAGTATCTTAATTGACTAAGACCAGGCTAAATAATTGGTTCCATCCAATTTCATAGTGGTCAATGCCCCTAACAGAGTCTCCACAGGCCCCCATGTCCAAACCCGGAATCTGTGGGATATTTGGGTTCTCCTCTAGTTTGCTCCATTGAGTGGACGAATGCAAACAAAAATAAAAATAAGGTTTACTAGGCTAGATTTGTTGTTTCAAGCAAAGAACTACTATTCAATCACCCATAACTAGGGTTTCACAAGACCTGATCGGATGGGAGAAGGAGAGAAAGTTCAACCACTCCTTTCAAAGATTTCAGAACTCTGTTCAACACAAACCGCCCTTAATAGAAATCAAAGAGCTCCCCTTTGATCCCCAAGTGCCAACTTCAAAGTGTCTCTAGGACTTGTAACAAGATTTCTCAAGTTACATAGGGTTTTTGGAAAAAAAACTCCATACACATTGTGTATGGGCTAAGAAAGAAGAAAACAGTTGAAGGTGAGAACCCACTCTGATACAAAATTGTGAAACACACCTGCAATAAATCAGAAAAAATAGAAAAAAAAAGAAAGAAAGAAGAATGAAAGGTTTCAGCAAAAGCTTGTGGAAGAAGAAGAGGAAGGAAGAGAGAAGAGAAGATGTTCGATCTCTTATCTAGTCCCCTGAAGATGTCTTTTATTTCTTAATATAAAAACTGAGTACAATTCCTTAGATGCCCTTAATAGGGCGGCCAGCATTAAAGAACTAATAAAATAAAAAAAGGAGGCCCATAACTAAAAGAACATAAACTTCAAAACATAACTTAAAAGAAATAAAGATACTAAGGCCCATTTGGCCCATTCTCACTACATGCAAGAGCCTTGAAAGTGCCACAACATACCAAGCAAAGCAGTAATTTGAGTAACAACTTTCCTATTCCCAAACCTCCTTGCTCTTTGGCCCTACACACCACTTCCCATTTGACCAACTCCTCACCATCACCAGCCATATTAACATTGCATTTTATTTATTTTTTTTGTGTAACTAGAATTCTTTGTTTTATATTAAAAGCTTAAGGTAGGAAACTTAGCAGTAGTACAAGTAATGTTAATATACAATACAAAGTAAACAGTACATACATTATAAGTGTGTAAGAACATGATATACAAGGCGGTGTCACACTACCATTACAAAAGGAAGAGATACCTGAATTATGCTTCAAAGCCAAGTCTTCAACAGCCCATGAAACATTTTTCAGATTCACTTTTCCGTCCTGATATAAAACAAAAGGGTAAATACAAACAAAGTAAAGGTTCTGAATACCCACTTATAAAATTCTATAAACAGAAACAACTTGCAAAATAAAATCCATTCAAATATTAGTGGTGCCCTTTGTTTGATCTGAATGATAGTTTTAGAGACCAAACCATCTTTGTAAGCTCTAGGCCATCATCACTATCTTCATCTTTGCACAACGAATCAGCAGCAGTTGCATCATAAAATTCCTCATTCACTTTCCCATCCTCAAATTCATTATTGATACCAGAGGAATTAGAGGATTTTGAGTGTAGGATATTGGTTGAAAAATCACATGTCAGTGCAGGGTTTGCTCCAAAGTATTCCTTGAGAGCTGAACAATCAAATGGGACCAGTAACATTAGACTCCTGTCTTCTGGATGGCTAAAAAATAGAAAAGTGAAGGATGATGGAAAATAAATACTTTTGGATAATTTCTGCTTCAGGTATTGACAAGTTCTCAAAACATAGGGTAATGCCAAAATCTTGGTTCAGTTCAAATAACAACTCTACTATTTTTTGGAATAGTATGGGTTTTTGTTGATAATGTCACTATTGTTATTACTAATACCACCATAACCACTCTTATCATCAAGAAATCATCTTAACAAACAGAAATTTTATTAATTTGTGAAAAAAGAATGAGATACAAAATCTGAAGTTGTGCCAAGCACCTCTTTTATAGGATAGCACTTTCTACTTACACTTTGTACCATTTATATAATGTGTGCACTACATAATCTCCCAATATTACCAATTTCTATTTATCATATGCCTTGCCAAGGCATCAGCCATATTGCTGGATGATTACATAATCCAACTGTGTTATTTTTTTTTTGATAAATAAAGTAAAATTTGACTAAATAGCAAAAATATAGGCATCTCAAGCATCCCCAAAGAGAGGCATGAGGTGCTATCTCTCACAAATTATAGAGCACAATACGAAAAAACAATTACAACTGAGCCCAATACAAGTAATGCCTATTTACCCCTTGCTTAGTCAATGCATCCACCATCTCATTTCCCGATCCCCTAACACAACTTATCATCAAATTCATATTTCTAGTAAGCCATTTAAATTTCTTTATCTCTTCCCTAAAGTTCCAAGTCATGGACTTTGGTTGCTTTAGCCAACCAACTACTAATTTCGAATCTCCTTCAATCTCCACATTTCTCAAGCCTAACTCACTTGCTATCTGTATCACTTTCAACGTTGCCTTAACTGCTCCCATCAAAGTTCAATTTCACAAAATCTTCATATGAAGGCTTCCAAATTACATTTACTCCTACTTTTCTTGATGCACTTCTGGCCACCACCCCTAGATTCTCCAAATATCATCAAAAGAAACATGCAATAAAGAGTCCAAAGTTCTAATCTAGTGTATTACTCTCACCATTACACAATCACTTATTGCTTCCTTACTTCTCTCCTTCTCTAAAAAGATTCTAGCATTCCTTTCTTCTCACAGAGTCCAAATTCCAGCTGCTTTTACATTTATCCACATGATCTTGCCCCTTTTCTTAGGCCAAACAAAAGTAGAAGGGTCAAAAAACTTACCCACCTCCCTTGACAAAGTCCACTTGCGCCCAAGCAAAGAGAAAAACCATTCCCAAATATCTATAGCAAAAGGATAGGATTACTCATTCCTTGAATTGTTATTTAACCTTCTTCCCTAGTTCTTGTGTTTTTCCGGATTTAACCTTCGAGAAGATGATTGGTAGAAGAAGCATGGTGGATGGTCTTTATGTCCTTGAGAATAAAGTTGGTTTTGTGGCACCAGCATCAGAGTTGAGTAGTTAGTTGAGTCAATCAAATAAGAGTCATTTTTTTGTGGCATAATCACCTGGGTCATGTGTGCTTTGAGTTACTGAAGTATTTGTTCCCTTTTTTATTTAAGTCTTGTTCAGTGTTGGATTTCCAATGTCAAACGTGACAGCTAAGCAAACAATGTAGAACATCTTTTCCTTCAAGAAACAAAATATTAGTTTCCTTTTCATATTGTGTATTCAGATGTTTTGGGCCCTACTACTACACCATCTGATGGCAGCTACAGATACTTTATTACTTTGATTGATAATTGTTCCCGCTACACTTGGAAATTCCCTATGCACAATAGAGATGAAGTTCCTAAAATTGTAAAGGACCTTCAACAAAAGATATTTACTCAGTTCCATGTAGAAGTTCAAATATTTGTCGGATAAGTGATAAGGCAAAAAAAGAAAAAGGAAAAAAAAAAGAAGTGTGTGAATGTATTCTGTTTTGCATGTTTTTTTGTAGTGGGATCCCAAATTGTTGTCTTTGGGTAGCTCTGTTGACAGTTTGGGACCAGGGGCATTTTCGTCATTTTATAAGTCAGATTTTTGGTCAGGGCAGTTGGGTGCATTTCTGTTGGGTTTTGGTCTCTTGGGTCTTTTTGTAACAAAAGTTATCTTTTAGGTGTTCATTTGAAGTTAGTTTTGTTCCTAAGGAGTTGGTGAGAGGGAAACATTCTAGGGGCTTATGTGTAAATATTTTAACTAGCTTGTCCAGTAAGCCAGTGAGTCTTATAAAAGAGAAGGGGGCTGTTTCTGTAGGGGTCTTTTTGGTTCTTTATCTCTTGTTTGAGCTATAGCTCAGCCCCAGCTAGGGTTTTCAAGCATTGGAAGCTTGGGTTTTGAGGAGTCGACCCATCTTGGCACCTTCCAATCCCTCATCGCTGCGTGTCTGCACGGAAGGCCAGCTTGCTGCCATTGTTACTGTAGCGGAACTGTTCCAGGAGGAGTTTTACTTCGGGTTCAGGTCTGAAATCCCTAAAAATCCAACTTATTTTGTTGTTTTCAGCTTTGTATTTCTTGTGCTTATTGCTGTATACTTGAGGTACTGCATGTAACTTGTCTTTCCGCCCACATCAAGTGGTATCAGAGCCAGGTTCTTTCCTTGGGTTTGCTTCAAAGTTCACTCCTTCTTGTGTCCTCCTTGGAGGCTTCCTTCACATCCCCTAGCAAGAAGTTTAATTTTCCTCTACCCCCAATAGCCATCATGGCTGATTGGGCCCATTCTAAGTAGTTTGATCCATCAAACTTAATAGTTGTAATCTGAAAAGGTGTTTTCAGTCATGTTACCTGAACCACCAGTCCCAAAAACACCTTCCCCCTGGTTCTTGTACTCCATTCTAAGTTAGGAGATGATTAAGGAGAAGCTTTAAACTACCGTGACAAGAAAAAAACTGTACCTCAAGGCTGATAACAGCCGACCTAGGACAATGATTTTGCAGTTAGATAACAGTCAACTATTGTCCTGTGATTGATACCAGTCCTAGACTTTAGGTTGTTTTTTTTTCCCAAAAATCAGTCCTGGACTGATTGATATCAGTCCTAAGATTTTCTATCTGTCCCTTTCTGAATGAATAACAAAGTCCTTTTGAATACCAATCTCAAGAAAAGGTACTTACTTTATGAAGAAAAATAGCCAATTTACCTCTTACTGCTGTCGGCCTCAAGAAAGGAAGAAACTTGCCTAGAAAAACTGAAGAATGCCAACTTGTCTCTGCTGTCAGCCTCAAGAAAAAGGAGAAAATTTCCCAGAAAACTGATTTCTACCTTCAGTCTTCAAACTTTATCAATCGACTACTGTCAACACCTTGAATCTTGATCAAAGAACCAGGAGAAAGCTCATCGGCACCTCCAATCTTGATCAAGAATCAATCTTGATCACTCAATTTCTGCCTGATTCTTCCTGATTACAAGAAGCACTCTCCAATCTTAGGACAGCTGCTAAAAGCCTTCTTGCAACCTCCAAGAATCAGCCGAAGTAAGGATCTTTCTGAACTTTCAGCCCTAAACAATCCTCATGTGGTCGGCTGAATTAAATCCACATGAGAAGTAATACAGGTTCAAAAAGAAGAAGAAGAAAAGAGAGAGAGAGAGAGAGAGAGAGAGAGAGAGAGAGAGAGAGAGAGAGAGAGAGA